CAACCTATTTTGATGGTTCTTTTTAACTCAAATACAGACATATATCATACCACCAAGCAAGAACATGCCATCTAGCATTATGTACTAGCAAGAAAAATTCAAAGTATGTTCCAAAATGTTGTTAGCTACAGGACTGACGATCATCAAAAATAAGTTTAATGTTCTTCTAGGTTCTGGAGCCAAGTGGACTGGTCTATAGATGCCATTGTTTCCGAAAACATCATTACTGTCAACATTGTAAAGACCTCAGATGTTAAGAATAAGTTTAGTTTTCAAGTTCTGAATGTGATTTATTGTGATGTGTGAAGAAGTTTGTTTGCCCTTAGACCCTATAATCAATCATCTAATGCCTCTTAAGTTGTTATATTTTGATCTTTCTGGCTTCTCCCCTCTAGGTGAGGTTAAGGGAATCCACTTATAACAGCCCCCAAGGGTCAGATTCTATTCACTCCAAATCTTCCCTGGTATCAACAGATTAACAAGGACTCCATATCACATCCTTGCAGTTCTGATGTCAGAGATGAGAAACATGAAAATATATGAACTGGCCCATTTCAAATCCATAACCTTTCCTATGAAAATATCAGTGCCTTACAATCCTTCTAAAACATTCCACAACATGAACATTAATTTAAATGCAATGGAAAGGCCAAGGCTCTTCCTCGACTGTCAGGATCCGAAAACTCAAATCATTTCTACACGCGTGGTTTACACATCACCCTGATGATGGAGGCAGCAAACACCTCTGAAACATTGGTAAACTTTAACCAGAATACACAGTGCAACAACCCAGAAAACAGCCATCTTTTAACTCACTGCCATGAAAACCTCAAATCCTACTTAGTAAAATATTATTTATCTATTCTTTGCTTTCCAAGCATTCCTTATTATAATACTTGGCATCAAATGATGTAATTGAAGATGTAGGCAAAAAAGTGTCTTAGAATTATGACCAAAGCACACCAATAAGTATGATTCTGAATCCACTCATGTCCTCAGTCTTCACAGTTGCTATCTTTTGTATGCATTTCGTGCCCGGCCCATCTGAGCTTCATGTCCAGCTCACTGTACTCTCCTAGATTTCACTCTCTTAACAATATGTATTGCCCACTTACTTCATCAAACACTTGTCATTTTCGTTCTTCTCTGAGTAAGAGACTATGTTTCACAACCACACAAAACCTCTGGTAAAATAATAGTTCTATACATCTTGAACTTTAGTATTTTGGAAAGGGGATGGGTGGTAAATCCTTCCTCTCACATCACTTTTAAATATTTATTTGCTTCAATCACACATGAATGTTTACCCAAAAGGATGAGTTTTGTTTTTGAAACAACAATAATGTATGCCAACCATATAAATATATATAAATAATTTCACCCCCATACTAAATTCTTGTTTTATAAAGGGAATACTTTTCTTCAGGTTTGTTCAGTAAGCAAAAATATGTTAAACAGAAATTAATCTATCAGTTAGTTTAAATACAATAACTGAAAATTTATAGATATGCGAATAATAGTAAAAATAATATACACATCAGACATTTTTGTATCTGTTATAATGAAAAGTAATTCATTTTAAATGAGCAGTTCTAATTAATACAGATATATATTCTAACAGAAAATAAGGAACATTATGAATAAGGAAAATTAAGTAATGTCATTCATTACCAACAGGCAATTATTCAATCACTGGTAGAAGTTGATGGCTAAGGTTCTGAAGTTCACTTTGGCATGTTTCAACTAAATGAAAATTCATTATACATATCAAAATGGGATATTTGTTGTTCAAAAGCATTAACATAAAGATTCACTGACTGGAAGTTTGTAGACTAAGGAGTTTTCATATCTAAAACTGTCTGGATTATGTGCAGTCATCTGTAAATGTGAGCTTTGTTCTTAAAATTAGCACTAGTAAATCTGATAGCCCTGAGCAGGATTTGATATAATATGTTGTAGTACTTATCTGAAACTTACATAAGTATTGTCTTAGCTCACAGAATTCATATTTTAAAGACAAATATCCATCACCATGCTATAATACATTTTAATGTACAAAGTTGCATTAGTATTGTATTTATATATAGTTTTCATATACAATGGTACTTCATATTATACAAATGAAATTTTAGTAACCAAAAACAGACAGAAATGAGCACTATTTTGTTTCCCAGTGTCTGTTTTTGTTCACTTTTCTAAATTCCAAGTATCTCAATTAAAATCACATTTTATAAATATTAAGTCTACAACTACAATTAATTATCTTCTTGTGATTAGTGGAAAGTATATTTCCTGGTCAATTCTCACAAGAATGTTACCCATAGGGGTGGCAGA